GGCAGCTGTGGTACCAGCATCAACTGATCAACCAGTTGGTCCACAAAGTGTTGTGGCAGCTGTTGTACCAGCATCAACTGATCAACCGGTTGGTTCACAAAGTGTTGTGGCAGCTGTTGTACCTGAATCAACTGATCAACTCGTGGGTCCACAGAATGACAGCAGTACAGGCATTGAACAGTCAGCAGATCTGCATGTCAACAGCCAGACTACAGCAAGGACAGAAGGGGCAGACCAACCCATGGAGACATCTGTTATTGCAGAGCCAACTGTACTCGTAAAGCAAGAACTGATTGAGACCGGTGTAGACTCTGGTGTGAAGATGGAGTGTCTTGTTGACCCTGAAGTCAAAATGGAGGTTGATGAACCTGAAGCCAGAGCCAACAGCTACCCACAGAGCGTGGAAGCTGCCGAGAAGATGGAAGTTGATGATGCACAGGCAGTCCCGCAGGATAGTGCTATTGTTGAAAACGTGCCAGCAGCAGAGAGTACTTCTGAGACTGCATCATCTGCAGAGACAGTTGTGAAGGAAGAACCAGTGGATAATGTTGGACAACCAGAAACAGCGCCTGAATCGGCTTTAGAAACAACAGTTGAGGCTGCAGCTAGACCCGAAGCTGTAGAACCGAGCCCATCAGAGTTCTTCCCCAGCCTGATGCCCGAACAGTCTCCAGCAAGTACAGGAGCAGCATCAGAACCACCATCCACCAAGCTGCTTTCTAAAATTGAACCAAGGGATGTGCAGAAAGGGGCTTGCGACGAGGCCAAGCCAGGCCAAGAGAGGGAGACGTCAGTCTCCAGTGATCCTGCCTGCAAGGCAAAAACCCAGCAAAGCCAGCCGGAAGCAAAAGCACCAAGCACATCGCAAAAGGAGGCTGGTACAGATGCCAAAGAAAGCACAGACTCTGTGGCTAAACCCAGCCAGACTGACAGTGACAAGCAGTCTTTGAGCAAAACTACAGCTGTAAATGAAGTGCAGAACATTCAGGCAATCAGTGTTATAGGAAGGGCCCGGGTAGATACCCAAAGGAGGAGAGACATGTTTTATAGGTGATAATAAATGTTATTGAAAGTAGGTAAAAAAAAAGGGAAAAATTAAAGACGTACATATTCAGCTGTCCCTGGCAAATATAACTAAATGGTATTTAGCAGGCTACAAGTAAACAGCACCCTCTTTGATGTGTATGCGTAAGTAAGCCAGTTATTAAATTGCCAACAAATCTTAGTGAGGGTCTGTTATTCAGCGGATAGTGCACGACTTGATCTCACAAGATAGTTCGCAGGTTGGTCCGATCCTCAGCTGTCGTTCTTTTTGTTTCACCCTCCAAAATTAAGAATTTTCATCTTTTATTTGTAAATTGACTCTATGATTATAATTACAGGGTGGTACTTTTTTTTCTGAGTCATGGCCCTGGAGAATTTTTTAAGGGAAAAAAGTCCTAAGAAGGATGAATACAAAGTCAAGACTATGTTGGCATAGAATCAGACAAAAAATTGTCATGGTAAGAATTCCCCCCCCCCAACAAAATTTACTGCACATGTGCCTGGCAAACTATCATATAGTTAAATTTGTCAGCGGCTGCTAACTATCCACTGCCAAAAGAAAATCTTGCACAAAACATCCAATTATAAATGATTTAGCCAAACTGCCCGTGCTTTCGGTGATTTTTTGACCAGGTTAACGCCTCTAATTTACTTGTGGGAAAGACTTCCCTTATTTTTTCCGGAGGGGGGGGTAAGAGGCATCTTCAGATAACCTGCAAGAGCTCTTGTACGCAAAGTAATTGTGCCTAGTACCACCCCATGCACACAAAAAGTGCCTATTTGTGGACCTCCACAACCACCTGTCTCGTCTCTTAAGAAACACCTTGACCCCGGCAGTTTGCCCCAGTACTCGAGAATATTTTTGACAAGACATAATTCCAAAGGGACTGGCCTATCCACCCAACCTAAAAAGTGAAGTAAACAACTGAAGTTTTCCTCCAAAAATTGGAGATCTCTGTTTGAGATCTCTCCTTCATGCTGACATAC